TCTGCATAAAACATAGAGGAGCTAAACTGATCCAAAGCCAGAATGCTTCAGAACAAGTAACAAGAATTGCAAAAGACTTCTAAGCCTACTGTTTACCTAGGCCTGTATCTAGGAACCTTGATAAGAAGGATTGTGCCACCATACCAAAGACTCGATCCCAAGGGTCCACAACGATTTTCCCTCCTTGGCTATCACCAACCGGCAGAACATGGAAGGCAATCCTCGGCATCAGAGAATAATTCCATTTCACTTCAAACTTTAGTCCAAGTTTTGCTAATCCTATATATTGCCCCCATTCAACGAACACTTACTAAGTAGTGTAGTAGAATGAACACGGGGTTTGGAGTCCAACAAACCCAGGTTCAAGTCCTAACCCTGCCACATACCAGCTGCCACATACCAACCAGGAGAGAAAGGACAAGCCATAGTATTGAAACCAAAGACAGACCATGGGCGCACATGTGCTTGATATCTTCATCTAAAATGAGAATAATAATAACTGCTTCTAAGAGTTGTTTCTTTTGGCACAGTGCCAGATGTAGAATAAGCTCTTAATAAATAAAAAGAGGTACCATTTCAATTAAAAAAAGATAAAAGTAGAACTTAAATTTTTTCACCAAAAAAAGAGAGAAATACGTGAGAGGGAAAAAAAAGAGCAGGTAACATTTACCAAGTGCCCACTATGTGCTGGGCACTATTTTAACTGTTTTATATGTAAAAATGGTATTTGATATACAAATGAGTGATGATAATTTAGACTCTATAATAATAAAATAAGAGCTAATACTTATTGAAAGCTTAGCGCCCTCACTGTTCTAAGAACACATATTGACTTTTTTTCAATTATTTTATTGAGACCATAATGGTTTATAACTGTGTAATTTCGGATGTACATTATTATTTATCAATTTCTGTATGGATTGCATTGTGCTCACCATCAATAGTCTAATTTTTATCTGTCACCATACATATGTGCCCCTTTACCACTTTCACCCACCCCTAGCCCCCTTCCCCTATGGTAACCACTAATATGTTCTCTTTGTCCATATGTTTATCTTCTACATATGAGTAAAACTATGCAGTATTTGTCTTTCTCTGTCTGGCTTATTTCGCTTAACATCATACCCTCAAGGTCCATCCATGTTGTTGCAAATGGGACGATTCTGTCTTTCTTTATGGCTGAGTAGTATTCCATTGTGTATATATACCACATCTTCTTTATCCATTCATCAGTTGATGGGCACTTGGGTTGCTTCCACATCCTGGCTATTGTGAATAATGCTGCAATGAACATAGGGGTGCATAAATCTCTTCATATTTATAAATCTCTTTGATACCAAGTTCTTTGGATAAATACCCAGTAGTGTGTTAGCTAGGTCATATAGTATTTCTACTTTTAATTTTTTGAGAAATCTCCATACTGTTTTCCAAGTGACTGTACCAGTTTGCATTCCCACCAGCAGTGTATGAGTGTTCCCTTTTTTCCACATCCTCTCCAACATTTGTTATTTCTTGTCTTGGTGATTATGACCATTCTGATAGGTGTAAGGTGATATCTCTAGTGATGTTGAACATCTTTTCATGTGCCTATTGGCCATCTGTATACCTTCTTTGGAAAAATGTCTGTTCATATCCCCTGCTCATTTTTTTTTATTTATTTTTTATTTTTTTTAAAGATTTTATTTTTTCCTTTTTCTCCCCAAAGCCCCCCGGTACATAGTTGTGTATTCTTCGTTGTGGGTTCCTCTAGTTGTGGAATGTGGGACGCCGCCTCAGCGTGGTCCGACGAGCAGTGCCATGTCCGCGCCCAGGACTCGAACCGATGAAACACTGGGCCGCCTGCAGCGGAGCGCGCAAACCCAACCACTCAGCCACGGGGCCAGCCCCTCCCCTGCTCATTTTTTGATCAGATTGTTTGTTTTTGTTTTTGGTTGTTACGTTTAGGTGTTCTTTATATATTTTGGAAATTAACCCCTTGTCAGAGATATGATTTGCAAATATTTTCTCCCAGTTGGTGGGTTTTTTTTGTTTTGCTCCTTGTTTCCTTTTCCTGGCAGAAGCTTTTTAGTCTGATGGAGTCCCATTTGTTTATTTTTTCTTTTGTTTCACTTTCCTGAGTAGACATGGTATTCGAAAAGATGCTGCTAAGACCAATGTCAAAGAGTGTACTGCCTATATTTTCTTCTAGGAGTTTTACGGTTTCAGATCTTACATTCAAGTCTTTAATCCATTTTGAGTTAATCTATGCATATGGTGTAAGATAATGGTCTACCTTCATGCTTTTGCATGTGTCTGTCCAGTTTTCCCAACACTATTTATTGAAGAGACTCTCCTTTCTCCATGGTATGTTCTTGGCTCCTTTGTTGAAGATTAACTGTCCATAGATGTGTGGGTTTATTTCCAGGCTCTTAATTCTGATCCACTGATCTGTGTGTCTGTTTTTGTGCCAGTCCCATGCTGTTTTGATTACTATAGCTTTGTAGTATATTTTGAAGTCAGGGATTGTGATGCCTCCAGCTTTGTTCATTTTTCTCAGGATTGCTTTGGCTATTTGAGGTTTTTTGTTGTTCCTTATAAATTTTAAGATTCTTTGTTCTATTTCCGTGATGAATGTCATTGAGATTGCATTGAATCTGTAGATTGCTTTAGGTAATATGGACATTTTAACTATGTTTATTCTTCCAATCTATGAGCATAGAATATCTTTCCATTTCTTTATATCTTCTTCAATTTCTTTCAATAATGTCTTATAGATTTTAGTGTATAGGTCTTTCACCTCTTTGGTTAAATTTATTCCTAGATATTTTATTCTTTCTGTTGAAATTGTAAATGGGATTGTATTCTTGACTTCTCTTGCAACTAGTTCATTTTTTTTTTCTTTTTGAGGAAGATTATCTCTGAGCTAACATCTGCTGCCAATCCTCCTCTTTTTGCTGTGGAAGACTGGCCCTGAGCTAATATCTGTGCCCATCTTCCTCCACTTTATATGTGGGATGCCTGCCACAGCATGGCTTGACAAGTAGTGCATAGGTCTGCACCTGGGATCTGAACCAGCAAACCCCAGGCCACTGAAGAGGAACGTGCGCACTTAACCACTGCACCACCAGGCTGGCCCCTAGTTTATTATTTTGGGGGAGGTTTTTGATTACTGTTTCAATCTCTTTACTTGTGATTGGTCTATTCAGATTCTCTATTTCTTCTTGATTCAGTTTTGGGAGGTTGTAGGAGTCTAAGAATTTATCCATTTCTTCTAGATTGTCCAATTTGTTGGCATATAGTTTTTCATAGTATTCTCTTAGAATCCTTTGTATTTCTGGGGTATCCGTTGTAATTTCTCCTCCTTCACTTCGAATTTTATTTATTTGATCCTTCTCTCTTTTTTTCTTAGTGAGTCTGGCTAAGGGTTTATCAATTTTGTTTATTATCTCAAAGAAACAGCTCTTAGTTTCATTGATCCTTTCTACTGTTTTTGCAGTTTCCATTTCATTTATTTCTGCTCTAATTTTTATTATTTCCCTCCTTTTGCTGACTTTGGGCTTTGTTTGTTCTTCTTTTTCTAGTTCTGTTAAGTGTAGTTTAAGATTACTTATTTGAGATTTTTCTTCTTTATTGAAGTGTACCTGTATTGCTTTGAATTTCTCTTATGACGTCTTTTGCTGCATCCCATAAGAATTCGTATATTGTATTTTCATTTTCATTTGTCTCCAGGTATTTCTTGATTTCTCCTTTGATTTTTTCATTGACCCAATGGTTTTTCAGTAGTATTTTGTTTAGTCTCCACATATTTGTCACTTTCCTAGGTTATTTCTTGTAGTTGATTTCTGGTTTCATAGCATTATGGTTGGAAGAGACGCTTGACATGATTTCAATCTTCTTAGATTTATTGAGTCTTTCCTCATTTCCCAACATATGGTCTATCTTTGAGAATGTTCCATGTGCACTTGAGAGAATGTGTATCCTGCTGTTTTTGGATGGATCCCTCTATACATATTAATTCCATCTGATCAAGTGTTCCATTTAAATCCACTATTTCCTTGTTGACTTTCTGTCTGGATGATCTATCCATTGATGTAAGTGAGATATTGGGGTCCCCTACACTTATTGTGTTGCTATTAATTTCTCCCTTTAGGTCTGCTAATAGTTGCATCATATACTTTGGTGCTCCTGTGTTAGTTGCATATATATCCATAAGTGTTATGTCCTCTTGGTGGAAAGTCCCTTTTATCATTATATACTGCCCCTCTTTGTCTCTCATTGTCTTACTTTGTCTGATATAAGTATGGCAACAGCTGCTTTCTTTTGTTTGCCCCTTGCTTGGAGTATGGTCTTCCATCCCTTCACTCTGAGCCTATGTTTGTCTTTAGAGCTGAGATGTGTTTCCTGGAGGCAGCATATTGTTGGGTCTTGTTTTTAAATCCATCCAGCCACTCTGTGTCTTTTGACTGGAGAATTCAATCCATTTACCTTTAGAGTGATTATTGATATATGAGGGCTTAATAGTGCCCTTTTATCTCTTATTTTCTGGTTGTTCTATATTTCCATTGTTTCTCTTCTCTTATATTACTGACTGCCATTTCGTTTTGGTAGTTTTCTGTGGAGGTAGTCTCAGTTTTCTCCTTTTTTATGGATTTTGGCTCTGCTCTGATTTTTTGTTTAGTGGTTACCATGAGGTTTGTATAAAAGATCTCGTAGATGATACAGTCCATTTTCTGATAGCTCCTCATCTCCATTAGCCTAAGCATGTTCCATCCCTATCCGATTTCCCTTCTGAGTTATTGTTGTGACTAATTATTCTATTTTGTGTTGTGAGTTTGTTACTAAGTGGAAGTGTTTATCGTTATTTTTAATGCTTTCCTTCCCTTTATCTTTTAAGTTATAATTAAGTATTTGCTACCCTATTCTGAAAGAAAGCTGCAATCTTCTGGTTTTGTCTATCTATTTATCTTCTTGCCCAAAGCTTTGTAGACCTTTGCCTTTTGGTTTCAGGTATGAGGGCATCCAAAAATACAGAGCACTTCACTAATTTGAATGTCATCCTTGCGCAGGGGCCATGCTAATCTTCTCTGTATCATTCTAATTTTAGTATACGTGTTGCTGAAGCAAGCAGTATATTGATTTTTCAAATCCTCAAACAACCCTATGAGATAGATATTGGTATCTCCATTTTACAGATCAGTAAGTTGAGGCTCATAAATTTACGTAAAGTGGCCCAAGATCATGCAGCTGAAAAGTGGCATAGCTTCAACACAAAACCAAGTAGTCTGACTTCAGAACCTATGAGACTTCTGAGCATGGGCTCTCTGCCAGATTCCTTTCCATCCACTTTGCCATTCATTCAAAAAGCCTCCATTGTAATGTGGGAACGCTAGAGCAGGAATACTGTAATCACAGATACCATTTATTGAGCTCCTATTGTATGGTAGGTACTGTGCTGGGTGTTTTACATATCTTATATCAAATTCTCACATCAAAAATGTGAAGTGATTACTATTACTATTAAGATTGCTTACAGATTATAATAATGGTGCTGCCCCAAATCACACAGCTATGTTTCTTGCTCTCTGCAAACCCAAATTTCTCTGATGCCACGCTACACATTCTTTGGAACTCTCATTCTGATCCCTCACTGCTCATCCTCGCCCTTCACCCGCAAAGTGAATGATCATTAACTAGAAGAGGTAGGATGACATTTTTTTTATTCCTGTCTTAATATATTTTCTGCATAAGAAATTTCTAACCACTGCACACAAAAATATGGTGATATCTTGTCTTCATCTGAAAAGCACTTTTTTCATTCCTTTGTTTTAATGAGGAGCGGCACTCAGCCATCAGGACACATTGAATTCTACCCCCAAGAAATTTTGAAAGTTTCTTTACAGACCTGGGAATCAAATTCCCTTCTTAGTCTCCAATCAAGAAGTATCATTTGTCCTTTTATAGCCCTGTAAATTCTGATCTAATAAACCTGCCCCACGCTTCTACAGACAAAATTCACTCTCTTCCCAGGACAGACAAAGCAGAGGCTTCAAAATATAAGAGAGGTGTGTGTGGTAGGGGTGGGGGAGTCTTTATATTTCTAAGGACTACAAGTACTTGAAATATGGAAAGAAACTGGACAAAATATCTATTTGGACAGTAATCCACCCAAGTGGCTAAAAATGGTTCACAGTGGCTGGATAGCCTAGAAGTCAAGCCTTAAAAACATTGGCTATTAGGAAGTATTGTAACCAAATGAAGTACTTCTAAATTCAACAGAGAAAGTGATTATAACTTTGTATTTTAATAAATCTAGTTCACCTAATAGATTTTGTTTATCTCCAGGGTCTGGAAGCCCAATGCCAAAAGTCTTCAAATGAATCTTGTGTTATTCCCAGCTGTCATCACTCATAGTACTGAAGCAAGTACAAGATCAGACCTTAGGATTCTGAGTTCTAATCTAGGCCTTGTTGCTGACTCACCAAATGGCCATGGGAAGTGGCATAATATCCTCGCTCCATAGTATGTCAGTGTTAGCAATGGTCAGAACACAGGTGGGATCAGTAGGTGAAACCTGCCTGTTTTCACGTTAAGATGGAACAGACAGAGAATAACTAGTAGAAATGAGCCACTGTGAAGTCTAAAGTGGGGCCCCTCCCCATGTACTCCAAAAGAACCCCTTTTCCTTATTCCACCAGTAGGAAAAGTGGGCTTGGTTAATCAAGAACATGGATCTTGGCACAGAGGTTGGAGAGAGAGAATGTATGATATTTTTCTTCTTTGGTGAGAGTGAGCTTACCAAGGAATAGAAGGCAGATGCTTCAGTGTATCTATAGACACCCATAACAGATACAGAATAAAGCCTCTGAACAGAGGCTGTGGCCCCACAGAGCCCGTCCAACACACGCTTATCTTCAAAATCTTTGCTCTCCTACTCAAAACTGTTGAATTAATGAACAAATAATGAGATTATCCTACTCACCTACTTGCGAAAAGGACCTAAGAGAACAAAGGAGGGATTGATGAGTCTTTAGAAACTCACAAATGCTCCTAAATTTGGGAGAACAAGACAGTTATAGATTAATAAGGTAGATACTACTAACATGTACTTGCCTTGGAATCAGAAGATGGGGGTGTGAGTCTTAGCTTTGCCGACTTACTTAGTAGTTGAGCAAATCACAGGCCCCTGGAGTTGATCAGTTTGCTGCCATCCATTTCATAATGCTGTTGCTCATTCATTCATTTAACTAATCATTCTACAATGCTGACTACATCTCAGATACTGCACTAGACAATGAAGCAGAAACAGAGTAGAATAAAATAAGCCCTGAGCTTCTTCCCACATGTAGCCTTTGAAACACATAAAAATAGAAACACTAAGCGATAAAATGGCAGCATTAAGCCTTCATATATCATAATCACTCTAAATGTAAATGGATTGAATTCTCCAATCAAAGGACACAGAGTGGCTGGATGGATTTAAAAACAAGACCCAACAATATAATAAATAAATAAATACATACAATAAAGAATCCACTGGGAAGCTATTAGAAATCATCAAGAACTACAGCAAAGTTTCAGGGTACAAAATCAACTTACAAAAATCAGTTGCATTTCTGTACTGTAATAATGAACTAACAGAAAGAGAACTCAAGAATACAATCCCATTTACAATTGCAATAAAAAGAATAAAATACCTAGGAATAAATTTAACCAAGGATGTGAAAGACCTATGCAATGAAAACTATATGACATTATGGAAAGAAATCGATGATGATATAAGAAATGGAAAGATATTCCATGCACATGGATTGGAAGAATAAATATAGTTAAAAATGTCCACACTACCTAAAGCAATCTACAGATTCAGTGCAATCCCAATCAAAATCCCAATGACATTCTTCATAGAAATGGCACAAAGAATCCTGAAATTCATATGATGCAACAAAAGATCCCAAATAACTAAAGCAATCCTGAGAAAAAAGAAGAAAGGTGGAGGCATCACAATCCCTGACTTCTAAATATACTACAAAGCTATAGTAATCAGAGCAGTGTGGTACTGGTACAAAAACAGGCACACAGATCAATGGAACAGAATTGAGAGCCAGGAAATAAACCCACACATCTATGGACAGCTAACCTTCACAAATGAGCTAAGAATATACGATGGAGATAGGAAAGTCTCTTCAATAAATACTCTTGGGTAAACTGGACAGCCATACGCAAAAGAATGAAAGTAGACCATTATCTTTCACCATACACAAAAATTAACTCAAAATGGATCAAAGACTTGAAGGTAAGACATGAAACCATAAAACTCCTAGAAGAAAATATAGACAGTACACTCTGGCATTGGTCTTAGCAGCATCTTTTCGAATACCACATCTACTCAGACAAGGGAAACAAAAGAAAAAATAAACAAGTGGGACTTCATCCAACTAAAGAGCTTCTGTAAGGCAAAGGAAACCAGGAACAAAACGAAAAGACAGGGGCTGGCCCCGTAGCCAAGTGGTTAAGTTCGCACGCTCCACTTCAGCAGCCCAGGGTTTCATTGGTTTGGATCCTGGGCGCGGACATGGCACCACACATCAGGCTGTGCTAAGGCAGCGTCCCACATGCCACAACCAGAGGCACTCACAACTAGAATATACAAGTATGTACTGGGGGACTTTGAGGAGAAGAATTTAAAAAAAAAAAAAGATTGGCAACATTGTTAGCTCAAGTACCAATCTTTAAAAAAAAAAAGAATAGAAACCCACCAACTGGGAGAAAATATTTGCAAATCATATATCCAACAAGGGGCTAATCAACATATATGCAGAATTCACACAGCTCAACAACAAAAAAACAAATAATCCAATCAAAAAATGGGAAGAGGATTTGAACATTTTTCCAAAGAAGATATACAGATGGCAAATAGGCACATGAAAAGGTATTCAAAATCACTAATCATCAGGGAAATGCAAATCAAAACTACATGAGATATCACCTTACACAAATCAGAATGGCTATAATCACCAAGACAAAAAATATCAAACATTGGAGAGGATGTGGAGAAAGCGGAACCCTCACATGCTGCTGGTGGGAATGTAAACTGGTGCAGCCACTATGGAAAACAGTATGGAGATTTCTCAAAAATTTAAAAATAGAAATACCATATGCCCCAGCTAGCCCGCTACTGGGTATTTATCCAAAGAAATTGAAATCAACAATTCAAAGAGACTTATGCACCCCTATGTTCATTGCAACATTGTTCACAACAGCCAAGATGTGGAAGCAACCCAAGTGCCCAGCCACTGATGACTGGATAAAGAAGATATGGTATATGTATATACAATGGAATACTACTCAGTCATAAAAAAGACAAAATCTTCCCATTTGCAACAACATGGATGGACCTTGAGGATATGATGTTAAGCAAATAAGCCAGAAAGAGAAAGGCAAACACCATATGATTTCTCTCATATGTGGAAGATAAACAAACTTAGAAACAAAGAGAACAGTTTAGTGGTTACTAGAGGGGAAGGGGATTGGGGGTGGGCATAAGGGGTAAGGGGGCACACATATACGGTGACTGACAAATAATGCACACTTGAAATTTCACAATGTTATAAACTATTATGACCTCAATAAAATAAAAAAAACTTTCAATGGAAACACTATCATGATGACATTTGATCTTCCTTAATAAAATAGCTCCTACTTAGCACTATTTTGCAGCAGGTTCTGTGCTAGAAACTCCTCATAAATTATACCATCCCTTAAAAATTGGCATTATCATAGTCATTTTCCATGTGAGATAACTACAGCTCTGAGAGTTTGAGTAGCTTGCCCAAGGTCACACACCTTGTAAGTGGCAGAGCTGGGATTGCAGTCCGGGATAGTGTGACTCTAAACCCTACCACACTGCCCATGTGTGATGAGGCTATCAGCCAGATGGCTTTTTCGTTTTCTATCAAGCATACAAGCGGCTAACAAATGTATTTTTTGCCCTATTTCGACTTCTGAAAAGGGCACCCAGTCTTTGTTAACTCAGCTCTGGCTCAATGCAATCTGTCTGAATTGTCCCCCAAAAGTGAAGCTGAAAGTGAAGATGACTAAAGTAGTCCTAGGCAAAAAAGGCACCTCG